GTCCAAATCTGTGGAGAAAACAAAGGGTCAGGAATGCGCCTGCTGTTCTGAGTGGCCACAATAGGTTAATATGTTTAAGAATGAAAACTCAAGACATGGAATGCTGCGCCAGGCCCTAAGTGTTAAGGTCCTTCACAAGCTTCAAGTAGAATTAGAGGATCAGTCCCCCAAAGAAGACATTTGTGGGGCAACAATCAGAGAGCACAGGCAGTATCTCACAACAGGGAACAGAAAGATCAGGAAGGGCAAAGGGCTTCCCATACCCTCCGAGACATCAGTTAATTGTGGAGTTGTGGCCCGGGATACTGAGAAGCCGCCACTTTCCAAGATAGATGCCTCCTCATCTGACAGCTCGGAGTCTGTAATGGCCAAAGCCAGTGCTGTTTTCTTCACATCCACCTGCAGGGGTACCAAGATAAACACAACACATGAGAGTATAAGAGAACCAATTTTCTAGGAGCACCTCCTCACCAATTCCCACCTTCTTGAAAAGCGTCTGCTCTAACACAGAGATTCCCCGCCACCTGCTACTTGATACCCCATCTCCCTTGAACCTCACCACTGGGGAGAAGCCGGCCAGTTCTGCCTCGCTTTCACTCTCTGTCTCTGCCAGTGGCTCATCACCTCCAGGGGGTGCGTTCTTCCCTTGCCGCTCTAGAGAAGCAAGAGGAGCAGGGTACTCATCAAGCAGGGACAGCAGTAGAGGACAACCATGGCCAAGGGACTGGAGAGTATCTAAATTCCAGGGTGTCCCTCCCGGGTTACAAGAGCCCCTTACTCCTCTTGTCGTGTTTGTGATGCAGGGTGTCAGCTTCTGCCTTCATGCTGTAGTCCAGCTGCATGAGCAGGGGCTCGAGGCGCGTATACATCCTCTGGATCAGCTCATGATAAACCACCAGGGGCCACAGCAGGATACTCAGCACTAGGGGACAGAGCATCCACTCAGAGCTCCCTTGCTTCTTTCCTAAGGGCCCTTATTCATTCTTCCCTAAACAGAAAGCACTGAAGGAAGATGAGGTCCTTTCCTGAGAACGTACTATCCTCTTCCCTCCATATCCTCTGCCCCCCTCCCTTGGGGATCTCCATAAATGGGTAACTGAACAGAGAGAAAGCATTCTTCCCTTTAGATCATTTCAGGGAAAGAAGACAAGAAGGTGGCTTTGGGAAGGGGAGGGTTAGACCCTACTCACAGACAATGTAGGAAATCATAATCCCTGGAACATAGTGTCCCAGCACAGCCAACACAGCGCAGCCGGAGCAGACTCGAGCACAGAACTGCAGAGGAGAACGCGGGGTCTAAGAACTAGGGCAGAGGTATGTGCCCCACTCATTTGGGTTAGGAGTTACTGCTCGGCTGGTGAAAGGAGGTGTACGGCCTCTAGGACCGCAGTGATCCAGTGTAGTCAAGAGGACGCCCAAGACCACCAGCTCAGGAAGTTTGCAACAGACACTGCCAAACACCTATAATTCAAACTGTCCCACCTTAGCAGAAAATAGTGTCAGAACATCAGCTCATTCCCTGAGGCAAGACAGCCTCCCGTACCAGGCTACTAGCTGTGAATGCTGCCTCAGGTAGGGTCCCGGCCTCTTCCTTCAGTGTCCAAACACTCCTCCCCTCCGCCTTTTTCCCCAGTGCAGGGAGACCTTGTATGACATGGGGGAGTTACCTGAGCTGGATTCTGCCTCTTGTACTGCAGCAGCTCCTGCAGGTGAATCTGGAAGGTGAGCCAGCTCTCAGCCAGGTATCTGCACAACTCGGGCACACTCAGCAGGTGCGGCCGGGCGCCTGACCCCGCACCCTCACTGGGGAGACATGACATGACCCCTGGAGGCCTCAGACACCAGCTTCCTAGGCACTCAGATCCCTCTGAGAATGCCAATAAGTGCTTCAGTCTAAGAAAACGGATAACCCTACCTCCCAAAGGGAGGCTGTCCTGCTCCAGGGAAGCAAAACCCAGAGCTCCCAACCCTGTGCCCCAAAAGGAGCAGGCACACAAACACCTACACAGGAACCTAGGACCAAGCTATTTATCAGTCCATTCACTATGCTGGGGTCTGTGCCTACGGAAGCTACAGTGTTGCCCTGCACCATGGTGACATTGGCACCAAAGCAAGACAGGATTTGGGCATTTGTCTTCAAGAGGCGGCCTGCACTCACCTGTCGGAGTGTGGCTCCTCTGGGGATGATGCTATAGAGAGAGGAGGGGGAGAAGTTACTGAGTGGTAGGGGCTTTGGGAGACACTCCCCATGGCAGACATTGTTGCCCCTCTTCTGCAAAGGAAGAAGGACCAAAGCACTTTCTTCAGCTGCCAGCTGCAGGGAGCATTGTTGTTGTATTGTTTGTATGTGTCTCCTTTTTTAGGCTTTACCCTTTTCAAACACAGGAACTACATCTTATTCATGTTTACATCCCGAGCAAGTTGCACACAGCCTGGCACCTAGTTGTTTCAAAATGCGTATTAAGTAGATACTCGAACAACAACAAAACAATAAGAGCTAATATTTACATAATTCCTATCACATGTGAAGCTCTACCATAAGCACATAACATACAGAACTCAATCTAGGCCTCCAGATGAAGTAAGTTCTATCATCCCTGTTTTACAGATGAGGAAACTGAGGCAAACAGAGATTGAGTGGCTTTTACAAGACCACACACACGGTAAACGGTTGAGCAGACAATGGAACCCAGGCAATCTGGCTGCAGAGTCCACAATCTTTACTAGCTTCACAGTAACACCAATTTTGAGAAAGGAGCAATTCTCGATTTCCTAACTGGGGGGAGTGGGGGTGATTAGGAGGTAGGCGGCAACTACCCAAAGCAAGTGCACAATGGGCTTGCTAAGTAAAAGAAGTTAACACTCACCTGCGATGTCAGGGAGGAAGCGAGGCTGCCAGAGATCCAGCAGAAAATAGGCCAAAAGTGAGATGCTGAGTAGGAAGATGGGCCGGAGGGATGACGAAGACAGCAACCTTCGGAAGAGACAGGCACCTCAGCGCTGAATGGGTGAAGAGTGGCTCCCGCAGCCATCGCAAAAGGCAGAAAAGCGCCCACTGATGCGGGAATGGGCCTAACTCGAGACCCGAAGACAGAGGAGCGGGGCAACACAGGCGGAAAACAGACTTTAAAAGCCGGGGGATGGGTCATTCCCCAGGGCAAGTGTCAACCCCGGAAAGGGGAAGGGTACTCCGGCCCCTCCCGCCCCCGCTCTCGCCGCGCAGCCCGGCCCCGCCCCCTTCCTCCGCGGCCGTTACCAGAAGAGGCCGTTGAGCGCGGCCGCCGTGATCAAGCTGTGCAGGGGCTTCTCCCACACCAGCAGCCGCTGCGCGGCTGCCAGCACTGCCTCCCAGCCACGGAGCCGCAGCCATAGCGTCGTGGCTAGGCGTCCCACCGCCTCGGCCGTGGCCGCCTCCTCCTCCGCCTCGCTGGTGGCCTCACCCATGCCTATGCTCAGACCCAGGCCCAGGCCGGGGCTCGGGCCCAGTCCCGAGCCCCCACCCGCGCCGGCGTTACCCCCACCACCGCCGCTCGCCATAGCCCCGCCGCAGCCGCCGCCCGAGCCCGCGCGGAGCCAGGGCTGCGCGGCCGCCGCTGGGGGCCGTCAGGCGGAAGGGGGCGCACGCCGCGGAGAGCGCCGCCGAGGCAGCCGCAAGGTAACACGTGATGGCGGAGCGACGGGTCGGTCACGTGACGAGTCTTAACCGCCCGGATGGGGCGGTCCGCCCCTGCGCACTAGCGCTAGTGGTGACTGGCCCCTACGCAGGTGTGCTCGGGCTGCTGGAGTCGTGACTTGGGCTCATAGACTAGGTCGTGTCTGTCTCCTGCTGACGCGAGGACTGTGTCTCCGTGTTTCCTCGCCCTAGCCTGTTTTCTTCTTCCTATGTAGGCAGGGCGATTAGGGAGTCTGGTGCTGACCCGGTATTCCCGGTGTGATGAGGGCCTAAGAGAAAGGAAGGGAGTTTCCAGAGTCCCAGTATCCTCTGTAGGTTCTGCTTCTGCTCTGGCAGGGCCTCGGCTGTCCCATTGCTCAATGCTGGGCGTACTGGTCGTCCCAGTTTCCTCCTCTAGGCAGATAAACAAATACCAGCGCGTGACCTGGCAGACTCAAAAACAGCTTCACCTCCTCAGAAAAGTTGTTTCCTGTCTTTTTGTAAACTCAAAGCAGGAGATTGTGGTCAGGGGGTGAATTAAAAATAAAACCGAGTTTAAATGCTGTTTACCCTTTGGGGGCATGCTAGCACCACTTATTGAGCCTTAAAACGTATCAGGCGTTTTATAGTCCCTTGAATCACTTAACCTCTGCAGTAACCCTACAAAATGCATATTTATTTGTTTAAAATCCCAAACTACGCTAAAAGGTATACAGCAAGTTTCCCTGCTTCCTTGTCCACAGTTCACCCACCGTTAAGTTTCTTGTGTGTCGTTTCCGACGCTTTTTATATACATTGCTCTGTGTGCGTGCGCGTATATCCCCCTTTTAAAAACAATCGGGAGCAATTCGCTGTCCTGCGTTTTTGCTTTATTCACATTAAAATCTACATTGGTACCAAAGTCAGCCGGGCTCGTTCGCATTCAGTGCGGCATGATTCCCTAGGAATTGTCCCCATTTCTCAGATGAGGAGAGGGAAGGCTGGGCCTCAGCTCTGACTTGCCCTGACCCAGTACTACTTGGGTTTGGAGCACACAGCTCCTTCCCGGCCTTAGGAAGCTCGCCGCTCGGCCCAGCGGGCGGCAGGAAATGCCTATCGCTGACTCGGCGGCGACACCCCCGCGGCTTGTAAACAACGGGCAAGACGCGCGGCGCGGCACGGCGCTACATTGGCACTGTATGCACTGTGTCGCAGGCAGCTCTCCTCTCCACTCCATGAGGTGAGCGCCCGGGACCGTGCCCGGCGAGCCCGGATCCCGGAGTCCGGAGCTCCGCCCGGGGCGGAACAGGAAGAGGCACACTCCTGCTCGGGCCCCGCCTGCTGCGGCTGGCGCGAGGGGAGGGGCGGCACTGGCAAGGGCGGCGGCAGGCGCTGAGGAGGCCGGAGGGCAGGTGGACCGGCGGCGGGCAGGGGCGGCCCCGCGGCCCCTTTACAATTCACTTTCTTCCCATCCACCTTCTCAGGGCGGCGGCGGCGGGCGGCGCGATGGACCTGGCCGGGCTCCTGCTGGACGAAGAAGGCACCTTCTCCCTCACCGGCTTCCAGGACTTTTCGGTGAGCACGATGCCCACCCATCCCTGTCCCGGCCTAACCGCACTTGGAGCGGGGACCCGGGGCGCTCCGAGCGGGGCCTCGAGCTCTCATGACAGTCTGTCCCGGAGCTGGGAGGCAGACGCTTGAACTGTGCCTACTTGAGGCCGCGGCTGCTTGGGCCCTGCGGGAGATTCGCGGGTACAGGCTCAGGAATAGAGGCGGCCAGCTGGGGCTCTTTCCTGGAGAACCTCACTCGGGGAGCCCTCAGCAGAGGAGCATCCCTCCCCCTGTGGACAGACTGCCATTGGCAAACAATGCAGAGAACACAGGCCTGGGTGGGGCACCGAACCCGCGAGAAGTGAGGCAGGCCTGCCGCCCTGCACCCTCTTTTAGCCCGGAGCCAAGATCTCCAGCATACCCTTCCCTGCCCTTCACCTTCCTGCCTTGTTTCAGTTCCTCCCAGGACACCAGAAGTTGAGTGCCAGGATCCGGAGAAGACTTTACTATGGCTGGGACTGGGAAGCTGACTGTAGCCTGGAGGAGCTCTCCAGCCCCATGGCAGGTTAGACAATGTTGTGTGACTGGGCCAGTGAGAAGCATGAAAATGGGGTTGTCAGCAGGTACCGAAACGACTTAGGTGTACCCTACGAGCTGCCCTGTCACTTCATCGCTAGCCCACTGGTACTTGGTTTAAGGACTGGGTTTGTATTTCCCCTTTGTTTGTTTGTGTGTGTGTGTTTTTTTTTTAGCCCAAATGAGTAAAAAACATTATCTTACAAACCCGTATTATTTATGATTTGTATACCAGAAACTCTTTGTTTCTAAGAACATCCAGCATGTTTCTCAAATAAACAAGGCGTGTTTATTTCTCAATTAAAAAAGAGTAGCAGACAAATTTAAGTAGCTTCAGATGACTGGAAAATAAGCCTTCTTGCTGGAAAGAACTGAAGTTCAGTCTTGGGATGGGCTTTTTGTCTCAATGTGGGAGAATTTGATCTCTGTCTTGTTACTGTGGTCCTGTCTCCAAGGCCCCAGATAACAGGGATCTATCTGGATCTTCTGCTGAGAACAGTGGGGACAAGTGGGGCAGGGCAGAGTTGTTTGCTTACTGTTTCTTCTGCCCCTGCAGACATTGCTGTGGAATTGCTCCAGAAGGCGGCCCCCAGTCCTATTCGCCGACTCCAGAAGAAATATGTAGCCCATGTGTCGCGGTGAGCCTGGAATTGAGGGGAACAGGATGAGAGTGTTTGGATCCTAAAAAGAAGGGAAGGGTTATCTCTAAAGAGAAGATATAAAGACACAGGATGAGCATTAAAAGAGTTACAAGAGAGTCCCTGGCTGATGTGGCTGAGTGGATTGAGTGCCAGCCTGCAAACTAAAGGGTTGCCTGTTCGATTCCCAGTCATGGCACGTGCCTGGGTTGTGGGCCAGTGGGGGGGCACACAAGAGACAACCATACATTGATATTTCTTTTCTTCTCTCTCCCTCCCTCCCCCCCTCTAAAAAAGTAACAAAATCCTTTTTTTTTATTTTTAAAAGATTTATTTATTTTCAGAGAGAGAGAGGGTGAGACACATCAATATGTGGCTGCCTCTCTCACACCCTCTACTGGGGACCTGGCCCACAACCCAGACATATGCCCTGACTGGGAATTGAACTGGCGACCTTTTGGTTCGCAGGCTGGCACTCAATCCACTCAGCCACACCAACCAAGGCCAAAAAAAAAAAACCAAACCCCAACAAAAAAAGAAACTTAAAAAAAAAGGTTATGAGAGCTGAAAGGCCTTTGGGTTTAATTCCGATCCTTTCTACCACCTAGGGAGGCATGCATCTCCCCGTGTGCTATGATGCTAGCTCTGGTGTACATTGAGCGGCTCCGGCACCGAAACCCGGACTACCTACAGCATGTGTCTTCCTCTGACTTGTTCCTGATCTCCATGGTAAGGCACCCCCTCCCCTTTCTTTCCCTGGTAAGCTAAGAGCCCGGTGTGAGTTCTGTTGACACCACCTCTGGTTCCTCTGCAGATGGTGGCCAGTAAATACCTCTATGATGAAGGGGAGGAGGAGGAGGTCTTCAATGATGAATGGGGAGCGGCAGGGGGTGTGGCTGTGCCCACTCTTAACGCCCTGGAGAGGGGTTTCCTGAGTGCCATGGTGAGTAGCTATTCTCTCTCTTGCTGTTTCCCTAACGCATCTTTATGTTTCTTTCAGCCCATGTTTTTTCTTCCTCAGCTTTCTGTTTCTTCATTTTTTTCTTCTTGTCATCCTTGTGTCTTTCCTTATTAGTATCTTCCCTTTCCAGTCTGGACTAACTATAGCCCTTGGAGGTACCTGATGTGGTGAGCCCAGAAGTGGAGCAGCCCCGCTTCCCCATCCCTCCAGGCTCAGCAGGGTGCACTCTGAGTCAGAGCTTACTTAACCGGGTTCCGACTATTCGCTTCCAGACTTTCTCTGCTTCTAGACTCTGAGCACCCTCTAAGCTCCCTATGGGCATGGACCACTGCAGGGTTATTCTCTTCCTATGCTCTTAGTTGGGGGTGGGATATGAGTCCAGATACATGATGATTAAATGAGTTAATATATAAAAGCTCTTGGAACAGTACTTGGCACATAGTACCAAGTATGTGTTACCCATAGTGGCGGTGGTTGTGCTGTTGTGGCTCTGGTTATTAAATGACTGTGGCTTATGTCTGAACCTGATTTGGTGCCCTTCTCTTCATACCCACAGGATTGGCGTCTCTACACTGACCCTCGGGAGATTTTTGAGGTGCTGAGCTGGTTAGAGAGCTGGTAGGTTCTAGGAGTTAGGAAGAGGGACATAAGGGCTGAGGCCTAAGCCATAAGAGCGACAGAGATGAGGGTCTGTGTCAAAGGGGCAGGTGGGGGGAGGAGGCAGGAAAGAGAATTGCCCAAGGCAGTGGTTCTCAAACCCGCCTCCCCTCTTTGTAATCTCTCACCTTTGGGAGGGTGGGAGAAGCTTATCAAAAATACAGGTCTTAGTCTCACCCTCAGTTTCTGGATCAACCTGCAGCCTAGGAATCTGTACTTTTAACGTGTTCCCAGTGTTCCTGGTGAGTCCAGGGAGAATGAGGCTGCCATTGGACCAGCTGCAGGAGAGTTGCAAGTGCTCTTATCTTTTCTTCCCTCCCAACAGTGTGGCTGAGCATCAGGGACGGCGACGGGGCTGGTACACCTATACAGACCTGTGTGTGCTGCTGGAGCAGCCAGCCTGGCAGCTGGCCCTGGGCTCCTTCTGCCATCGGCTGGCAAAGGTGAAGAGGGGTCAGGAAGGATAGGAAGCTTGAGCGGGCTGGTGCATGTGTGGTGTGATGTAAATCAAATGCTGAAAGGCTCAGGAGGTAGAGTTTGGGAGTAGATGGTAACAGAGAACTCTAACTTGAAGTTCTAAAGATAAGGAATGGGTGTGTTAAAGACAATCGGAAGCATGTTTTAGGGGAAGGGCATTTGGCACTGACCTTTCTTATCCTCTTTTCTACAGCTGTCCTGCCTGTTAGCCATAGCATATGTGAGCAGTGTGGCCCTGGCTGTGGCATCGGTGGCTGTAATACACCAGTCCTTGGGACTGTCCTGCAGCCCTACCCCTGGTCCCCCGGACCTTGGACTGGCCTCCAGACGCCTCTTGGAACCCTGCATACCTTCTCCTGTGACACAGTGCCTGCCGTCTCCTGCTAATGTTTCCAGCTGCCTGGAAGGCGATATACGGCTGCACTCACTCTGGGGCAGTCTCCTGGCCTCATTGACCCCTGCCCCATTGCCTCCCCGAGATCCTCCTGCCCCTCCCACTCTTCTCCATAACTGTCCCCTTTGCCAGAAGCTCCAGAAAGACTTGCCAACTTGTCGTGCCTGCCGCCATCCCAACCATACAGTGCCCACAGGGCCCCCAAACCCCTGGTACCACTCCCATGGCTTAGCTCCACCCTGGGCCTGGAGTCCCATGCCCTCTTTGCTCCCACAGCCCCAGCAATGTTCCCTTTTTGGCATCATGGAGCTGGCCCGCCTGAAGTCTTTCATTTTCCCGGGCTAGGTAGGGTTCCGAGGAATGCCTGGCAAGGACTTGGGAGTCCCTGAGAACCTGGAGGAACTGCTTGATTTAGATCCTCTCTACCTCTCTGGGTCCTTGGCTGGTCCCCTCTTTTCCTGGGTGAGGGAGCTTAAGCAGTTATAAGGCAGAAGACCTAAAGGTCACTTGCTCTTTTAGACCCCAGTGGCTGGCTGCTTGGCCAGGGCAGTGATGGTGCCCTGGAAAGCCTCCATGCAGTGACCAGGGGGCATGTCACAGATGGACAGAAGGAAAGCCCTTTTCTCTTTACCTCTAGACTCTTTTTAGACTAGCTTTTTAGTTCCTCGGGATGGAAAGGCAAAGGTGGTAGATGAGAAATGGGGGCGGGAGGGAGGGAGTGTTGACCAGGGTCTGTGTGATGTCCCCGAAGCCAGAGAGCCAGGGATTGGTAGGGCCAGAGGGAGAGTTGCTGAGTGAAGGTAGGTGAGGTGGGAATCCCACCTCTGGATGTCCCTGGATGTAGCCTGAAGTAGCCAGGGACTGCTGGGACCTTTAACCTTGTCCTTTGGTCTTCCAACCTTTTTAGTACCCTGCTCCTGGGCTTCCTTCTCTTCCGGTCCCTCCCTTGGGTGTTCTCACAGGCCTCTCTGGCCACCGCTTTGTATCTGGGTTTTTCACGCTTTTGTAGAACTGAGGTTTCAATAAACAGTTTCAGTTGCATGGCCTGGACTCTTCCTTCTCTGGCAGCCCTTGGAAGAACTTTTCTTCCCATATCTGCTTTCTAAGCCTCCCTACTTCCTGATTCCATCATCTTTTGACTCATTCTCTGTGCCCCATTTCAGAAGAACTTTCCTGTTGTTTGACAGCCATAGGCTCCAATTTCCAATTTCCCTTCATCCCTGCTCTCAGCATCCTGGGGTCACTAGTGCTGCTCAACTTGGGTGCCATGGAGCATCGTGGACGGTGACTACCATGCCTGGGGTTGTCCCTGTCTTACTGAAAGTCCTGGGTGAGCACCACCCTTGTGGATTCTGAAGCACATCTTGTGGAGAGAGGCCAAGCCAAGTATCCAGCAGAGCCCTGTCAGTTTGAGGGTGAGCCCCGAGAACCCCTGAATCCTGACTTCAGTCCAGTCTGGCATATGATGGTGGTCAGTGTTGTTAAGAGCAGTCCAAGGCTGGGTTATCCCTGGAAGAAGGAAAGCCTCTCAGAGCTGAACTGAGGGTATTTGGGACGACTTAAGATGATCCAGAGCAGGGGCGTACTACCTGCTGCCTGGTGGGGAGGGGGGGCATTTTGGAAATTTATGGGGCATTTTTGAGGCAAATATTTGGAGGTATGCTACTTGGCGTTTAGACAGCCTGGGCAGAATGCTAGACATCCTGAAATGCTCAAGACCCCTCTCATTAGGGAGAATTCCCAAGGTGACGTTGGAATGACTGGCTGCACATCATGCGTAGGGAAACCCTCTATATTTGAGCCTAGCACTATCTTAACTTCATATGTAGACACAAAGTCCTCTTCGCACATTTTGAAAAAGACTTTTCCAGGAATGCACATCCATGTAAACTATAACTTACTTTGCTTCAGCACTTGACCATGAACTTGTTCATTATTTTGAAGCATCAGGTTCCCAATGGCAGCACTGACTGTGGTCCATGAGTTAACAGGAGAGCACAAGTGTCAGTCGGCGTCGAAGCTACCGCTTCCACGATGATTCTACACATGGGGTTGGGGACTGGGTCACTTGGTTGTTGTCTGATGTAGTTGGGCCCAAACTTTTCACATAATGAAATGCCTTTTATTATAAATTACTTTTATTTCTCCTTTATATTAGGGCATTATATAAAGTTGTGGTCACTCTTGTCATGTGTGTCACCCATTACCTATGCATTTCCTTTTGAGGTAGCCCAGGGGGGTTGTCCCCAAAAGGGCTGAGGACTGCAGTGTAATGATAGTCACAAATTGCAGCAGTGAGGGGGGAACACAATCTAAAATCTCCCCAGGTTATTTCCTAGGTCTCCCCACCCCTCCTATCCTGCTTTACAGAGCATGGAGGAGGGGATCTAGGTGGAAATTCTTGGGGGGAGGGGTCCAGAACATGGCTCCCAGTTAATGGGTGACGGAATTTGTACCAGAACTGGGCAAAGGTGAATGGACTGTGTCCTGCCCCACGTCTCTCATTCTGCTTCATGGACACCCCTACTGCCTCCCCACTCTAGGCAGCCAACTTCACCCAAACTCTGACCTCTTACTCTACTCAACGCTGGCCCAGGGCAGTCAACATAAGATGAAACACAGGACAGGATGAGCCGATCACACTCCCATGCCATCCAACTCCAATCCGTGGGCTCCCAGGATGCCCTGGCTCCCCTGCCGCCACCGCCTGCTGTCCAAAATCCGTCTTTCCACCCTTGGGCTTCTCCACGTGGGCCTCCCCCCTGGGGCCTCAGCTGTCTTCTGGCTCTGCAGGTAGGAGGCAGCTGCGCAGGAGTTGGTGCTGGCTGAAGGGGGTGTTTGGGGAAGTAGATGTGGCATGGGAAACCCTTTAGAAATAGGTATTCCCTCCTTTGTCTGAAGACCACTCCTTCCCATACTTCCACTTGCAGCATATCTTGGTTCTGGCCTCTCTGCTCTGTGCCTCCCACCTGCTCCTGCTTCAGAATCTCCCCCCAGGAATTCTCTCTTACTCTCCTGCCCATCTCCTGGCCTCCAGCCTCTTTTCATGTGGTGTGTCTACTACCCTGCAAACTTGGATGGGCAGCAGGTAAGGGGCAGGAGAGAGGGCATGGTCCCGGGTGGGGTAGGAGGGGCTTGGAAAGTCCTTTCGGCTGCCACCTCCTTCCAGACCTGCCAGGGCTGCTGTTCCTACAGGCTGCCTCTTGTCCAGGTTCCATCCTTTGAGTTCCTTACCTCTGCTCTGGTACTGACTAACCAGAAGCTGCCTCTGGCCATCCAGACACCTGGAAACTGTGAGCACAGAATGAGAGCATGGGGTGAGGGTGGGGTTGGGTGCTAATCTGAGAATACAGGTATAGGTAGGTGCAGGATTGAGAATGGGCAACGGTGGGACTGGTAGGCACTCCCGGGTCTTGGAGCTGCGTCAGGCATCAGCTAGGACTGCACAGCAATGGGCCTCCATCCCTTTTACCTCTCTCCTCTCCATGCCCCCAACTTTCCAGCCTCTCACATGCCGCACCTGTGTGAGGGGCCTGGCTGCCATAGCCTGGAGCTCTGGAACACGTCTCTCCGAGAGGTAAGGACCCGGGGATGCAGGAGGCTCTGGTTTCTATTATGCAGAGACTGAGCTGCTCTGGGGAAGGAGGTGGAGGTGGGTCTGAGTGAGGAACCTGATGGACCGCCCCTGGAATTAGTTAGGAAGTCCAGGCTGCAATCAACTCAGCCAAGCAGAATGTCTTCTCTTCGCCCTCTCCTCCACTCCATTAGGTGTCTGGGGCAGTGGTGGTGTCCGGGCTGCTGCAGAGCACTCTGGGACTGTTGGGGGCTCCGGGCCACTTGTTCCGTCACTGTGGACCCTTGGTGTTGGCCCCCAGCCTGGTTGTGGCAGGGTTCTCTGCTCACAGGGAGGTGGCCCTGTTCTGCTCCAGTCACTGGGGGCTGGCCAGTACGTAAGTCCTGAGAGGCATGGGGTGGTAACCAGTGGGCTGCGTGGGACTGGGGGAGCGCAGAGCTGCTGGCTCTCCCGGATTGCACAGCTGTCTGAGCAGGCGCAACTCTGTGGATTTGGAATCCAGGGCCTGTGCTGGATCATTTGGTCTCTCCGGCTTTCACACTGTTTCCTGCTCACCCCCAAGGTGCCCTCTTCCCCTGTGCACAGGGGCTTTCTTCTCTGGGCCCCGCTTTATGGTATTCTGCTTCTTCTTCCTCCATTACCTGCCTCAGGATGCCTCTTTCCTCTTGCTTCTCAATCGCCTTCTCTCTCCTAGGCTTATCTTGCTCATGGTGGTCTGTTCTCAGCACCTGGGCTCCTGCCAGTTACCCCTGTGGCCCTGGAGGTCAGCTTCAGCCTCTTCAACTTGCGCTCGCATCCCCGCCTTCCGGCTCTTCTCGGTATGTGCGGATCTGGGCAGGGACAGTTGGAGTTAGAAGGTCCAGCATGGAACACTTGCCCCGCTCCCTATCCTATGGCCTCTGTTACTCCACTGGGCTGGCATGGAAGGGTGTGGGGGAGGGGTTCTTTTCCATCTCAGTCTTGCCCATCAGGTGCTGGTCCCAGTGGCCTGCGTGTGGATCATCTCTGCCCTGCTGGGTGTCAGCACCGTCCCCCGGGGGCTGCCCGCCCCCCATGAGGCGCCATGGCTTTGGCTGCCTCACCCAGGTGCGTTGTGTCCTAGCCCTCACCCCCTCACCGAGGGAAAGGGATCTGTCTCTTTCAACTCAAAACGTAATGCATTTTGTTTCTGAGTTAAATCCTGTTTTCTCAACACACACAGGGGAGAGAACTTGCTATTCCCAGGAGGCAATGCCAGCCCCTCCCCACAGATGTTTGCTTTATTTAGTGTTAGGAGACATCTGCAAACCCCACCACTCCCTGCTGATACTCCTTACCCGATTTACACATTACTTTTACGCTGCCTACCCCGCGGGCATTTGAGTTACCCAGGTATAAAAATTGCTTTTGAGGCATTGTATCTGAAATTTGCTCATTCACCAGTTTAATAAATGTCTGTTGAGTGTTGACTAAGTGCTAGGTACCTGATAGGGGACAGTGACAAACATGATAGACATAGTACCTTGAAGCTTGTCATCTGTTGGGCAATACAGATACTAATTAGACAGGCATCCAAATAAATGCAAAATTGCATGTGGTAAGTGTAACAAAGGGGAGGTACACTGTGTGATGAGAGCTTATACTGGGGAGTCTCACTTTATGAGAGAGGTCAGGAAAGGTATTCTTTTTTGAAGAATTTATTTATTTTTAGAGAGAGGGGAAGGGAGGAAGGGAGAAAAACAGCGATGTGTGAGAGGAACATTGATTGGTTGTCTCTTGCATGCCTCTAACTGGGGACCAGGCCTACAACCCAGGCATGTGCCCTGACCAGAATTGAACCAGCGACATTTCAGTCTGCTGGATGACGCCCGACCAACTGAGGCACACCAGTCAGGGCAGGAAAGGCATTCTTGAGGAAGTGATCATTGAACTGAGATGTGAGAAATGAGTAGGAGTTAACTGGGTGAAGGAAAAGAGCATTCTAGCTAGAGAGAACAGCACAAGCACAAGCCCTGTGGTGGTCGGCAGCACAGCAAACACAAGGGCCTTAAACAAGGCCCGTGTATCTGGAGTGAAGGAAGTGAGGCCGAGTGGGGTGGGAGAGGAGGCCAGAGGGACAGAAGTAAGGGTCAGACCAAGGGGACCTCATAGACCATGGTAAAGAGATGGTCTTTATCCCAAGTTGATGGTTTTGTCCCAAGACACCTTCAGAGACAATGGGGCCTCTAGGATTCTTGCAGCACAGGCCTTTGGAGGCAGAGGGATGCTCCAAACTTGAGTCTCGCCCCAAAGTGATTCTTTCTCTGTCTTCAGTTGAGTGGGCCTGGCCCTTGCTGACATCCCGGGCTCTGGCTGCGGGCTTCTCCATGGCCTTGGCAGCTTCCATCAGCTCCCTGGGCTGCTATGCCCTGTGCAGCCGGCTACTGCATTTGCCTTCTCCACCTCCACATGCCTGCAGTCGGGGGCTGAGCCTGGAGGGCCTGGGAAGTGTGCTGGCTGGGTTGTTGGGGAGCCCCATGGGTACTGCATCCAGCTTCCCCAACGTGGGCACAGTGAGTCTTATCCAGGTATGTGGACGGGATTGGGGGTGGGGGTGCCGGAGGTGCAGGAGAGGGAAGGGAACTCACACTGACTGATGGACGGCTGTGGGCTGTACTCTGTTAGGCAGGTCACATTCATGATCTCATTTAGGGAGGTGCTGAGAAGTAAGGGGCTAGGGGTGTAAGGAAGAAACCTAAGCAATATTGAGTTCCTTCTTTGCCTCAGGCACTGTACCAGGGCTGGGATCCCAATGTAGAATGAGTCAGATAAAGTGCCTGCTTTCTTGGGGACTTCAGAGGGGGAAAGGCAGACAATTTAAGAAAACATATAAATAAGGTAATTTCCCAGAATGATAAAAGTGCTATTAGAAAAAACAAAGCAGGGTAGTTAGTGGGATAGTCGTTGAGTAAAGGAGGCCCCTTCAGGTAGAGAGCTTGGAAATGCTTCTTAGAAGGGTAACATTTGTGTTGGAAGGGGCCACCAGGCAAACACGTCGAATAGTCAAGGAGACGGCTGTCTCCTAGTGTCTCTTCTTCATGTAGGCTGGATCTCAGCGAGTGGCCCACTTGGTGGGGCTGCTCTGTGTGGGACTTGGGCTGTCCCCGAGGCTGGCGCAGCTCCTCACCACCATCCCGCTGCCTGTTCTTGGTGAGTGGATGTACCAGCTGCATTGGTATTGACCCGGGAACCCCCAGCATGGCCCAAGAGGTTGCTTGTGGCAGGCGCCCTTCCTTTCTGGACGGCCTCCCTGATACATGGATGTGAATGTCAGCAGCCTTTATTTTCTCAGCCCAACAGAAAGCCCTTGACTGGGCTTCTGGGCTTCTGGCGGAATTAGAAATGAGCCCTTTGGTCATTTGTCTCCATCACAACCTGCCCCGCCCTGCAATACTGCCTGCTATGCCAGTTCTCTCTCAAACACTTTGCTTACTTTCCTATGAGACAGGCGGGGTGCTGGGCGTGACCCAGGCCGTGGTTCTGTCTACCGGATTCTCCAACTTCCACTTGGCTGACATTGACTCTGGGCGGAATGTTTTCATTGTTGGCTTCTCCATCTTCATGGCCCTGCTGCTGCCAAGATGGTTTTGGAAAGCTCCTTTCCTGCTGAGCACAGGTGAGAGGAGGAGGAGGGGAAGAAGAGTTGCTCAGTATCACGAAAGCAAGGGCTTGAGGCTTGAGATCCTCTGGACTGCAGGGCGCACACCCTTCTCTGGCCTTTGGTATAAACAGTTCATCCATCGGTTTAGCGAGTATTCATTGAGCACCATGCAAGTTCCTTGGGATACAATGGTACCTGCAGATGTTACAATCTAGTAAAAGGAAGTAGATGTGTAGACACATAACAGAAAAGGCTCAGATAAAAAGCTGTGCTGCTCAGTGATGAGAGAGATGGTTTGCGGTTTGAGATGATCCAGGTAAGTTTTATGGGGAAAGTAACATTGAGCTTGTCTTGAAGAATGGTAAGATTTAAACGTATTTGGTGAAAAGGTCATTCAAATAGCTTAGTCTGTTAGCTCAGCAAGTGGCAGTGGTTGTCAACTGAGGATAATTTTGGCAATGTCTGGGGACCTTTTGGCTGTTACAAACAGGGGAGAAAGGATTATTACTGGCATGTAGCTGGTAGAGGGATGCTGCTAAATACACTATAATGCACAGGACAGCCCCCCTCAAAGAATTATCTGGTGTAAATTAGTAGTAGTACTGAAGTTGAGAAACCTGGGTTTTGGAGCATAGAAGGTAAGTGGGAAATAAGGTTGGGGATTTTAATACAAAACTTTCCAGAGACAGGGAGTCTGGAACTATCAAAGCCTATCTGGAAAGCATGTGGAAGCTCAGAAGATGTGTTGAGCAGGGATCCTGTGGGAAGGGCCTGGGTGTGGGAAATGGAGAGCAGAGGGACAAAGGATAAAGGGGATAGAACAACGATTCAGAAAGATCGGCCCTTCGTCCAAGACTTAGATTTAGGTCTGGAAGTATAAGACTCCTTGGCCTTGCCTAAGATCAGGGTTCCTCTCCTGATTGGTCCCAACATCCTGTAGGCTGGAGCCCCTTGGATGTGCTTCTTCGCTCGCTGCTCACAGAGCCCATCCTCCTGGCAGGACTCTTGGGCTTCCTCCTAGAGAACACCATTTCTGGTAAGCCATGGCCAGGCTCTAGCAGACAGGGGAGTGGCCAGGAAATCATCCTTCCTCGCTTGCTGGGTTGGGCAATGTCCTGAACAACCTGTTTTGCAGGCACACAGCTTGAGCGAGGCCTTGGTCAAGGGCTGCCATCCTCTTTCGCTGCCCAAGAGGCTTGGGTGCCTCAGAAGTCCAAGCAGAAAGCTGCTCAAGAGTATGAGCTTCCTGTCTCCCTCCAAAACTTGTGTTCCTACATCCCCCAGCCCATCCGTTGCCTCTGCCCACTGCCTGAAGACCCTGGGAATGAAGAAAGAGGGCCTGCTGAGCCAGGAGAGACAGCTGACTTGCTGCCTGGTTTTGGGGAGCAGTGCCCCAGGTCTGGCAGAGAAGAACTTAGGTCCCATTAATTCTACAACTCATACTTCTGCTCTGGTTAGATTAGCCCTATCTCTTGGCTTGTTGAAGAGTCAGCTTCCAGGCTCTACCTTGAGGGGCCCATATTTTGTTTCCCAATAAGCGTTCCTTCTCTTAATCGGGCCTACCTGTTCCAGAGCAGGGGCTATGAATGATTAAATGAGATTTTGCCTGCGAACTATCTATACTTGAACTCCAGCATTCACTTAAATACTTATTGAGCCCTGGCCAGTGTGGCTCAGTGTGTTGAGTGCTGGCCTGTGAATCAAAAGGTCATTGACTGAGTCCCAGTCAGGGCACATGCCTGGGTTGTAGGCGAGGTCCTTGGTTAGGGGCATGGGAGAGGCAACCAACTGATGTTTCTCTTGAACATCAATGTTTCTCCCCCTCTTTCTTCCTCCCTTCCCCTCTCTCTGAAAAATAAAATCTTAAAAAAAAAATGTTATTGAGCCCTTCCCATGTGCAAGGTCCTGAAACTACAGCTATGGATAGGACAGGGTCCCTGTCCTCTCAAGACACAGTTTAAAAAGACTTATGTAATTACTAACTAAAATCCAAAGCAGAAAGCTGGAATAAAGATTAGAACAATGCTATGGGAGCAAAGGGAAAGAAACTATTAGTTCTGATTGGGGATAGTGGGAAAGGCTTTCTGAAAGAAGTAGCACTGAGGCTGGCTTTAACAAGAGGAAGACCTTTCAGTTGTGGAAAGCGCACGGGGAGAATTTTTCGGGCTCAGGTATCCAGCTCAAGAGTACAAAGTACAAGATGAGCAATTTCAAGATTCTCAGGGGGTGATCAAGCGTAATTATGGAAATGGACTGAGGGAGAAATGAGACAAGCGAGGAGGTGAAGGATGAGAGACCGTGGGATTTATGCTTGGGAGACACATCGCTGAAAGTGTTGGAGAGGATGGACAGATAATCTAGTGAAGTTCAGCCCTCTCCCTACCTATATCAAAGAGGTTGGAAAGGTAGGGGAGGGAGGGGAACTGGCACTTTTTGACAAGTTCAAACACAAGGACCCCCACTCCTGCATCTAATCCGGCATTCTTTCCACTCGGCCTGTCCCACTACCCCTCTACCTCTCTACCAGCGGGTCGCCCTGCCTCTCTAGCACTTAAGGCCCCGGTGGGCCTGCAGCTCGGAGCGGTCCTTCAATCAGCTCAGTGGGCCCAGATGTCCCGCCCTCGTCAGATCCGGGCTCCGCCTCTGTGCCCCAAGACCCCGCCTCCCCGTTGGGAGGGGGGCGGAATGAGTCTACTCTAGGCTTTTCGGGTAGCACAGGCCGGCAGGCCTGCTGCGGGGAGTTTGGGAGCTGTCGCAGCCGCTCACGGTAGGTGGGGGTTCGGGCTCGAATCAGGGTGGGAGCCTGGGCCGAGCGGCGAGGGCCGCTCGGGCGCTGCGTGCTAGCACGACAACAGCCGCTTTGTCCAGGAGGGACCCACGCGCGGCCCACATTCCGGGTCCGAACCCTGGGGATGGGCGGGGCCTTGGGGGCCGCGCATGCACAGCCCGCCTCCCGGTAGCGAGGCGGGGTCTGTGAGGCCACGCCTTGGCGGGCTGTTCGGTTCGACCCTACAGCGGGTTGTCCGCTTTGTTAGCCTCTGAGGGGTCTCGGGCCACGCCTCTGCAGCGGGTGCTGTAGAAATGGAAAGGCGGGCGGCGAAGGCTTTTCTGGGGAGAGCGAAAGGAAACTGGACGCCAGGCGGGGCTCCTGGGGTGGGGCTGTGGTAGAGGTAGCGAGGGCTCCTCCCCTCCCTGAAGGACGGGGCGTGGTCCAGCCGGGAGGGTGGATGGGCCCTTGCTGCCCCTCTGCAGGGTGGCGGACGAACTACGCGGAAAGGGGGCCGGCGGCTGAGGGGCGAGGCTTGGTGCGGAGCCGGGTTCTCAGGTGACCCCCCCCCTCGCTGTTGGCCTTCGGCGCGCCCCAACTTCATTCGAGAATAATAAAGGAAAAAAAAAAGAATAAAAAAGGAGTCAGTCTGGTTAACGTCAAGGTTAAAGACGGTCTTAAAGGAAAAAATAAAAAGGTGGGATAGAGAGGCCTCAGACTCAGAACAGGACGTGTGTGGTGGGGCCAGCTAACCCCAGGTCTGATGCTGAACATCTCAGATTTTTTTTTTTTTTTTAAGATTTCTCATTTATTTTTTAGAGAGGAAGGGAGGGAGGAGAGGGAGAGAAACACAGTTCGCATCCCCCCTACTGGGGACCTGGCGTGTGCCGTCGCTGCGAATCAAACTCGGGACCTTTCTATTCACCTGTCGGAGCTCAATCCACTGAGCCACACCAGCCGGGGATCTCAGACGTTTTTATGCGGCCAGTTGACTCTGCCTACACTTTAAACTCCTACCCTGCCCTCAACCCCCCGCCCTCCACCCGCAACACACGCAGGTACACATCCTTACAGTTTGATGGTCTTGAGCTAACGGGTTTTCTGAAGTGAGGGGCTAGGATGATCGACCTCCTTTTGGAGAATCAGAATGCACGCTAGGCAGTGCCTCTAGGGAGAAAGGGGCTTGGCGACTGCGCTTGCATTTGTGACATTTGGCAACGTGGAACTCTGGTGCAGTGAGGATTAGCCTAATCATTCCAAGATCTTCTGACAGGTAGAAACAACAGCGTGGTAGGAAATGTGACTGAGGCACCATTCTCTGAACAGAAGGTTTTGAGGCAGCTGCAAATAAAAGTCACAATGTGTATTTATATTCTACCTGTCTACTGGCTGTACAAATTAAGTTATGTTACAAGGCCACGCTTCAAAAAGGAGGTCATGGTTGGAAGACTAATGGCTTGGACTGAGATGGAACTGACTAGAGGAAGAAACCATGTTAACTTTGTTAATGAAGTCTAAGGAATTGTCTCGATATTCTGAGATGAGCCCCCACTTCACTTTTATATACTGAAATAATGAGAGAAATTTTAACACCCCCTCTTTTTTTTAAACCCACACGAAAAATCAAACTTCTTGTCAAGTAGCCATAGTTACTGAACATCTACTAAGACTACAAACTGAGTTGTAGAAGTAGAAAAGCTGGTTTCCAGTAGTTCCAGGATGTGCAGCAGGGCATGGTATCACTGATAGCAGCGCCCTGGGGTGGGGATGTGTGGGATGAGTGAAGTGGACATTAATTCATCATCTCAACCCCTGTGATGTACCCTGGCTTTTTTGCATGAGTTCTTAGTCTCGCACGTTCTTCTTGAAATGGGATTTGGGCTTTCCCATTTGTTCGGACACAGTGTTTATTCACTCTTTATTTGTGCGTCGTTGATCCCTTTGAGAATTTGTCAATAGCTGCAGGCTTCTCCGCAAAAGAGGCTATGCATGTGCACACAAATTTTGTGTGTAATTCCAGAGGACTCACATACATACACTCTAGGTTAAGAATCTGTCTTATGGCTCTGACAGGTGTGTCTTGGTTGGGTATCATCCCTCAGAGCAAAAGGTTGCTGGTCAATTCCTGGTCACATTCCTGGGTTGTGGGCATATATGAGAGGCAATGATGTTTCTCACATTGGTGTGTCTCTTCTTCTCTTTCTCCCTCCTTTCTCCTTTCTCTGAAAAAAAAAAAAATCATTTTTAGGGAATATATTTTACATTATTTTATATTTATTGTTTATTATTATACTTATTATTTTATATTATATTTGTCATTATAGTATGTATACTTATGGAATATGTATATGTTTAGGGAATATGCACATATATTTGAAATTCTGAGGTTTTCCCGAGTTTTGTTTTTAGATAATGATCAAATAACTTGAATTTCCTTTGATGACACTTATGATTTATGATGTTTTATAAAACAAGAACTGTTTCTTCTAGATGTTCTGGGAAAGGATAGCATTGACATATTTCTTAAGAATGTGATAAATATGCAACAAGAATGTTTTCCATATTAAGTTATATTATTAGGAAGCAGAAATATTAACACCAATATGCTGAGGCTTAAACACTATAGAAAAAAGATATTTTATGCCCTCTAGGAACTTAATATGGAAAAAAAATCCCTCGAAATTCTAAACAGATTCTTAGAGCCCAAGAGGTACTACGATGGGTGCTCAGTTGGTTATTTACTGGGGGTAGAGAGATGGGGGGCACTGAATGGGGTAGAATGTAAATCTGTGCTTTTTGTTTTATTAGGGAGGAATTTCATGAGACTTATTTGATCTTCAACTGATGGTCTATCCCCTCCCCCACCCCCACCTCCGACCTGTAGTGCCCTTGGACACTTTGCTAAATTAAGACTCTCCTGCAGATGGAGGAACTGGACCAAGGCCTGTTGATGCAGCCATGGGCATGGCTACAGCTTGCCGAAAACTCCCTCTTGGCTAAGGCTTACATCACTAAACAGGGCTATGCCTTGCTGGTTTCCGATCTTCAAGAGGTGTGGCATGAACAGGTGGATGCCAGTGTGGTCAGCCGGCGAGCCAAGGTATGTGCAAAGAGAAGTAATGTGGCGTTGTGGTAATGGATATAATTTCTTTCCTAGTGAAGGTCAGGGGCCATTAACATCACCCAGCTTGCTGGCCTGTCAGTTGTCAAGGAAGGTTGAATCAGATTGAGACAATTCCAGTGAATGTCCTGCACTTTTACCTATAGCCCGGGGATCTTTCCACATGGGTATGTGTGTTAGTTTCTGTGCTGCGTACAGTATAAGGCAGAATTGTGAGGCTGGCCAATTGATCTCTCTTCTCATGCCTACTGTCTTCATGTTAACCAAAGTTTTCCATTGCTGTTACTTATGAAGGAGTCAGTTTCCTTTTAGTGCCCTCACTCTGTACAACTCCTGCTGTCCTCTTAGGAGCTGAACAAGCGTCTGACTGCTCCCCCTGAGGCTTTTCTTGGGCATTTGGATGATCTGCTTCGTCCACTGTTGAAGGACATTGTTTGCCTGGGAAAAGCTACATTCTCCTGTGATCGCGTGGCAGAGGCACTGATACTACGGGTGCAGAGTGAGCTCTGTGGTCTCCCCTTCTATTGGAGTTTCCACTGCATCCTAGCTAGCCCTTCCCTGGTAAGTAAAATTCAAATTCGGGGTTGAGAGGGAGGCTGCTAGCTGCTTTGAAATGAAGCTTCAAGTGCTCTTATTTTTTTTAAACTACACTTGAAATTCTCCAGTTAGAAAACTTTCCTTTTCTAGACAGAAAGCAAAAAGGATTCCTGACTGGTACATCCTTTCCTTGTAAAGGGAGCAGAGTTTGAGTCTACATCCTTTACTGAGTGTCTTTATTCATTGCTTTATTCAACATTTATTAAGCATCTACTATGGGCCAGTTGTTGCGTGTCCAGATCCAAGACAACATAGCCTGTTCCTGGAGTTCATAATCTAGTGAGAAGACAGACAGGCAACAGATTACAGTATGGTAAATTGTTTGATTGAGGTAGGCCCAGGATGATTGAGGATCCGACAAACTTTCTTGAAGAGTTTCTGAGTTGAGTCTTGAAGATGAGTAGGGATTAATTGGGAGAAAATAAAAAGGTCATTCTAGGCAAGAGTGCATTTTGAGACGCATGGAAATGTTTTAATGTGGAGAAAGTGGGGGAACTTTGCGATTGCAGGGAGTTGAGAGAAATAAGGTAGGCAATGGCCAGATCTTGAAGGGTTCTAGTGAGTTTGGATTTTATCCCAAGGACAACAGGGGTTCCTTGAAAAACTTTAAGCTGGAGCTTAACTTGATTTAATTTGTGATTTATCAGTATCACTCTGGCAACAGGGTAGAGTATGTACCAGTGTTAGGTTTCTTTCTAAACATTATCTCATCATTTAATTTGTCCTGCAAAATAAGTATCCTTTTTCCTGTTTTTCAGAGTTGAAAACCGATATTGAATGTAATTTGTTCAGAGTCATCCAGCTTATAAATGAATGAGCTGGAATTTAACTTGCAGATAGGTCTGATTTGAGAGCTTATTTTCAGGGACTAAGGGAATAATGTCCTCTGCTCACTTGTAGCTTTCTAGGCCCTGAGAGCTTTTATTAGAAATTTGTTAGTTGAGCCCTGGCTGGTGTGGCTCAGTGGGTTGGGTGTCATCCCGCAAACCGAAAGGTCACTGGTTGAATCCCTAGTCAGAGCACATGACAGCATTGCAGGCCAGGTCCCTGGTTGGGTTTGTATGAGAGGCAGCCGGTTGATGTTTCCTTCACACATGGAAGTTTCTGTCCCTCTCTGAAAATAAATAAATAAATGAATGAATAAATAAAAACTTTATAAAAGCTTTTTTTAGTTGAGAGTGGATATTAAGAATTAGTTTGCAGACTGCTGCTGGTCTCTCCTACACTTATATAATAACAGAGCTTGTTTCAGTCGATAGCATGGGGGGGGTCTCCTATGCAAGGTCTAAGAGTATAGGTTTATCAGCAAAGGCATCTGACAAGTGGGCATCATTTCCTATCTCCCTTCTTTAGTTTCCCAGAGGTGATGTGGTGCTTTGGCATCACTAGAGTGGATAGGGTAAAGTGCATTTTGAGAAACTGTTCTCTGGTGTTTATTCTTGATCTGGAACCCAGTAAAGCTTGACTTGAGTTCTTGGAGGATTATATATCATTCAACTCTGAATTTCTAAGGTCCATCAATAGTCACTCCTATTTGCAGATAATAGTCACTCATATTTGTTGATTTTGATTGAATTTCTTGTGACATTTTCCATCTTGCTTTACATACAGAATTTACCTATTTTCTTTAAACCCTTGTAATATTTTCTAAGTAACACCAGGGGGCACTGTTCCCTCAATAATGCTTGTTATGGGACCAAAACATTTGGATCACCTTTGGGAAGCCCATGTGATGGCTAGTCTCATTTTGCATCACACAGCCCTAGGAGCTTAGAAGTGAATTGGGGAGGCAGTTCTCCTTGGAGGTTGATGAGTTCTAATAGTTTTTTCTTTCAAAAGAATAATGATATTATAATTGAAAGTAATATGTAAAGAAAAAACGGGGGTGGGGGGCGTGTGGGGCAGGGGAGAGCAACTGGGAATAATGTGGAACAACTGTAATTGAACAACTATAAAAAAAAGAAAAGAAAGAAAAAACTAAATATTCCAGGCAAGTTCCTCCAATTGGGGAGCTGCAGTAAGAAAAGAGGCAACAGAGTTCAGAGTGGAATGAGTCGTGGTTTTCTGAGGGGAGAAGTGAGCGTTGAACAATTGATAATGGTTATTCTTTAATGTAAAATAAAATTATTTTTACAAGAATGCCATCCCAGGAAAATCCCTGGACCTGAGGAAGCTTTATAGGGAAAAAGTGAGAGCTAGTGGACACTGGCAAGGATGTAGGTGGATACTATTTCAAGCTTCTGTGTGTGTCTATGAGGTCACACAGTCATAATTTTTGTTTGTTGCTCATTCTTGTGATAGTTTTTATTTAATTTTTTTTGAATGAGTAATTCATGCAAAAGACAAACACTTCAGACATTTAAGGGTATACAGTGAAAAAAATACGTCTTCTTTCTACCCCCTTTGCCACTCCCTCATTTTCCTTCTCTAAAGCAACTACTGATACCAACGTCTTGTGAGTTCTTAAAGAAAGCTATATATAGGTACATATATATGTATGTTTGTACATACTCGTACAATCAAATATTATCTCGGTATATGTATGTGTTTTCACAAATGGCAGCACACTGTTCACACTGTTCATTACCTTGCTTTTTTTCACTTAATTATAGAACTTAGAAATCATTCATCCCCGTACATTTAGAAGACCTACTTTAATATTTTTTAATGACAACATAGTGTTTTACTTAATGAATATATCATCATGTATTTACTCGATATGCTACTAGTAGACACTTAAATGTTCCCATTCTTTTGCTGTTATATATAGTAAATATCCTTGTGTTTACTTTTCAGTGTGTAACTGTGTGGTTAAATGACTAGAAGTGGAATAGCTGAATGAGGAATAGTAGCATCTTTAGTATTGGTAACATAATGCCAGATTGTCTTCCAGAGAGATTGTGCAGTTTAACTCCTACTAGTCATATAGGAGAGTAGAAGATTACCTATTTCCCTACACCCTCTATAACATAATATATCCATATTCATAATTTAATAGTTCTTAAGTCTCTGTAAGATATTATGGAATATAGAAAGCTTCGATCTCTGCTTTCCAACACGGAGCCCATTTCTATTTCTGGCCACCTTTTCTTATCTTCTTCTTTCCAGTGTGTATTCTGTCCAGTATCTAATGTAATTCTTTTTGTGTTGTTTATACATTTTTTGTAATGTAATTCTTTTTATTTTATTTTAGTTTCCAAAGTTTAAGAATCAAAGAATAGGAAAACTTTACATAAAAATATGTCAATTTTAGCTTCCACACTGTTGTCCACACACACAAAATCAGAACCTGATTATCTTTTTGTTAAACCTGTAGCGCGTGACCACAGTGGTAGCCAGGCCAATCCATTTGGTTCACTGTGACGAGGGTGGGACGTGGGGCCTGTGCCTGTGAATCAAGCTTTAAAATGGGCACCCACTTGCCGCTGTCCCCGTCTAATGTAATTCTTGATAGTCCATATTTTGACTTTCAAATCTGTTGCCTCTTTGGCCGTTTTATAATTCCTGGGATGCACATGCAAAGGGATTTTTCTTTTTGTTTGTTTTTTCAGAAAGAGCAAAGAGCATATGCTTTGGAACCAGCAGGCCTGAATTTGTAACTCAGCTTCACCACTTTGATGACTTGTATTACCTGGGATAAGTTACCGGATTTTTATGAGTCTTGATTTCTTTATCTGTAAAGTGGAGATACCAATTACAACCTTACTATGGAATTACGAGGATTAAATAGAAGGACTTATGTAGTATTACTTACCCTTTAGCATTATAGTAGACCTGTGAGAGCAAATACTCCAACTTCATACTTTTTCTTTTTAGAAAAGATTGGGACCATTTAGAGTACGTGGCATTAAGCCATTTTTATATCTAGCTACTCTCAGAGCCAGAACTAGAATCTAGGTCTCTGAATCCCCAGTCTGTTACCCTTTTCACTACATCCAAACCTGATATGACTCATCTTGGGGTTGATAACTGCCATTCTGCTCTCCTGCCTGTAACTTTTGAATATTTCTATGAGAAATCGGAAGACATTGTGGGAGATTATAAGTAGCTTTCCCTTTGGAAGAAGATTGCCCACTCCTGCTTCTATATCCACCACACTTCCTGACCTCCTCCTAACTCTTTGAGTTCTTTGAGGGTATAGGCCTCATAGGGTCAAAGCATGTATTAGGCACACAGTAGGTATTTGTTGAATTGACTTGCTGAACTGCATCTCTTCATATATTGCTGTCTGTAAATGAAGGGGATGGGTAGGTGTGTCTGTAGCCTCCAAAAGCATTTCAAGATTTTCCCTTGTAGTGTCTGTGGATTTGCTTTGAAATGCGTTCTTTCAGCCACAATGCCTTGTTTTAATTAACTGATCTAAGTTAGTGTTCATCTAACTTTGAAGTGAGTCAGTGATTCAGAGTGATGTAACCCAATCCTATGAAATATTTTAGAAGTTAAAATATTTACTGATAAGTTTTTTGTTTGTTTTTTTTTGATATGTGGACACTGGAATCTGGTAGATAATTTCAGGTGCCTGGTATAACATTACCATGTTTAATCAGACGACATTGATTAAAGATTGTTTCTCATCATGTTTCATGTTATGTTTACTACCATTCAAAGAAATTGCTATTAAGGTGGCTTCTTAGAGAGAGGCTGGTTAATTAGCTTTAGGAGTTTCTGTTATTTGAGGGCTGTCCCCAAATGGATGGTGACACTGCTGGGTTAGCAAGTGCAATTACTTTCAATTCAACCCACCAAACATTGACTTGCTTTCATAGAAGTAGTCACATGTTTTTCTTCCTGATTTACCTTGAACAGGGTCAAGGTTACCAAAAACAATTCCTAAGACAGAGGGTTGGATCTAGAGCAGATAAATTTTCCCGAAGCAGAACTTCTGCCACATTCTGATTAGTACTTCCTGGAAGTTTAAGTTTATACTAAGGATCTGAGCTGGCAGACAGTACCAGACTGGGACGTGCTGTGTGATGAAAAGAAATGATTGGTACCTACAGCAGGACCTGATTTCGGCATTTCTTGGGTCCTGGTGCTGGTACAAAGGCTGCTGTCACTAACCCCTAACTTCCCCCTGCCATTAGAGAAATGTGGAAAAAGTCCTTTCCTCTCAGTTTGAGCCACAATACAATTGGAGTTTTTAGCAGTAAGTTTTACTAGAAATTAATGGAAAACAAAAACACAAAAGTCTAAAGAGTTCAAACTTCTGATCTTGACTGAGATGCATCTGGCTTGCCCATCTTATAAGACACTCCAGTACCATTTCCTCACTTCAAGCCTGTTGCGGGGGCGGATCTTGTCTAAAAATTCTCTGTTTTAGATTGAGGGCTGGGGTTGGTGTACTATGGTCAGCAGGCCAACTCTGGCTTGCTGCCTATTTTTGTAAAGTTTTATTGGAACCCAGCCACCCTCATTTATTACATGTTGTCTATGGCTGCTTTCATGCTACAAAAGCTAAGCTGAGTATTGCGACAGGGACTCTATGGGCCACAGAACCAAAAATATTGACTCTCTGGCCCTTACAGAAAAAGTTTGCTGACCTCTGGTCTAGGGCATTTCTTCTTAGTGCCTCCTCAGTTCATCTCCTTCAGGGAAGGGAAAGAAACTCTGGTAACATCTCCAAGCCACAAATAGATTATTGATTTTAGTTATTTTCTTTGGCTAAGTCTTTTATCTTTCCAAGGCTAATAGAAACCTTGCATAGGTGAATTAAATGATCATTTTGTGTAGTTGTACATTATCATATGAGAGCAGCATCCTAGCTGCACTGCAGTATGGTTATGCTTGCGACCTTCTTACCTCTTGGTAAGAGCAAGGTGTGTGTCCGTGTGTTGGCAGTTTATTCCCTCCTAGGCTGGTCTCTTGGTGACTGGCTTGCTTCTGTTACAGCAGTGACCTTAGACTTCGCTGCATTGGTAGAAACAAATTGAAATGGCTCTTCAGTAGCATCTGGGTCAAATTCAACTTTGAAATATCTCAGCTTTCTGTGGATTTTTGTCTCCTATAATACACCAGCTCACACACTGCATTGTAGCCACAGCCTACCTTCTGAAAGGTTACTTGCATCTTCTGCTTTTGTCTCTCATTCTCTGCTGAGAGTTGACTTCGTACTTTCCTCTTACCAGCTGCATCACATCCTTCCCTTTATAACTCTAGGTACCTATTCCTGTGTATTCTTTATTCTTCTCATCTTTTTATCTGTGACACAGAGAAAATCCTTGAACTTCTTTAATGTACTTATTTAATTATTCCATTTGTCTTTACATTCACGTAAATGGATTGCTTGCCTATGAAACAGTAAGTTTCTATGAAAACATTTGCTCTTCAGTATTTTTCTAGTTACTAATACGGTGTTAGGGAATATTGCATATGTGTCTGTTGGGTAATTGCTATCTCTTCCATGAAAGGTCTCCCAACATTTGATTCGTCCTCTGATGGGCATGAGCCTGGCCTTGCAGTGCCAGGCGAGGGAGCTGGCAACCTTGCTTCGTATGAAAGACCTGGAGATCCAGGACTACCAGGAGAGCGGGGCTACGCTGAGCCGAGGTGAGAGGGCGTTCTTTCAGATGTTGGATGGGGAATGGGACAGATAATCAAAGGTGCCTCAGAAAAGGGGGACACTTTATTTTTATTAAAGAGATGCTTCCTTGCGGGTGGGTGCTGGGTGCTGACCCAGACTGGAGACCTGATGCTTGGTGACACTTCTCTCTGCCTCGAGTACCTGGCTGGTGCCCAACTGGCCAATAGAAGCTGTAACCGAGTCCAGACATGCCCTAGGCAATGGCAAAGAAAGACTTGGAAAGGGGCCAACAGCTCTACAAAATCGTACGAGGGCAACATGAACTTGGGACTATAGGAAGCTGCATAGCTCCAACTTCAGAATAAAAATTCAGTTTGACCTTTGTCTTTATGTTGGGAAAACCTCCTAGAGCACATGCTGCCACGGAACCTGTCGTTAGTTGCTAATCACCCTCTCCTCCTGCTTGCCCACATACTCTTACCCCTTCTTTCACTGGCCTGGGGGCCTCTGGGTATTGCATCTTTGTGCTCTTTCCCACAAAGTTTTGGGCTCTGTTTCTTTTCTATCTCACAGGTAAGAAGCTTGTCCTGAGACTCACATTTCTTTTCTCTACCCCTTCTTATTACAGATCGGTTGAAGACAGAACCATTTGAAGAAAAATCTTTCTTGGAACAATTTATGGTAGAGGTAAAGTATTTATTTCCTTTCTCTTGTGCAACTTGGCTTTACTTCCTTTTTTCCCAGGTACTTGAGTGGTGACTTGTGTTTAGGTGTTAGGTTGCTTACACGGTTGGGAAGCTCTTTCTCTGAAAATGTTGCCTATGGAAAGTCTGGTAAAGCTTGAGATGTGCATGGGGAAGTTGGGGGAAAGAAGGTAAAAGGCAAAAGTGGGCTGATTAACATTCATAAAATATCTCTGTTAAAGTACCTGGATATTTAATTTGGACTTCTCTGACCTTGGAAAGCTTGGTTGTCCAGTTGCTACATTTTTGCTTCTTGAGGTCTGATCACAGGTCTGGATTATGGAGCGGGGTGGGGGTTGAGGGGGGCTAGTTATTATTACTTGTCCAGGCCCCTCAACATCCCACAGTAGAGGAAGGTGGAAAGCACAGGGCTACCATTTGGGGACTGTCTTGTGGGCACAGGAGGCTGTGGAAAATCACAGTGTTTATATAAGGGGACTGGCAAAGGAATGAATGGGGAGTAGATAATTGTGGCCTGTCAGAAGCTCCTGCCTGGGTTTCCCTTCTAAGGATTGAGCTTGGCCAAAAGAAACATCTGGTAGATGCCAAACAGGGGGAGTATTATTAATAGTGACCTTTGATAATACCAGTCAATATTGATCTTCTCCTTCTCAAACTCTTCTGGGACTTGTTAGTTGTACAGTTAGTACCTTAGTATTATTCCCCTATTTTCTAATTGTACATGTAACCCAAATTGGTACTTTATTATATAGGTAAATGATGCTATTATTATAGAATATAACTTAATCATGTTTCTATCTTGTCTTCTAGGCTAATTCATAAGCCCCTTATGGATAGTGGCTGTAACTCATACTGCTTTTGAACCTAAAATTAGTCCTTTTCACAGAGCTCGGCATAAAGCAGGTGTTCTTGAGTTGGAGCTCTCTGTTCTGCCTTTGTGTGTTGGCTGAACAATGACTCCATAATGCTTGAGGTCTTAACACTAAGGACAAAAAATGCGAATTGAATGCAAAGTCCATTATGGAAGCAATTGTAACTCTGGAGAAGGAAATCCTGTATTGTTAAATCCTGAAACAGAGTAGGTTTCAAGTCTTTATGAGGAAAGAGAGACCATTAAATGTAGATTTCCTAGGCCCTTTTCCTGTCAGCTTTCCCTGTCTATAAGTTTGGATGTAAGGTTAACAGAGACTGGGGATGACATACTAGTTCATGCCTCAGCCCCTTAGTTAAACAATGCAAGGCTTACTCTTAGCTCAGCAGAGGGGTCCTTTCCTGATTTAGTGCCTACATTCCTATCTAGCTCAGTTTCTTGACATTTTTCTCTATGTACTTTATGCTTCAGACATATAGAATGACTTTTAATTACCAAAAATGCTTTTTCCCTAACCTTTATGTCTTTGTACACATTGTTCCTTTTATCTAGAATGCCCAATGTTCTGGGCTTATGCCTTGTAAACGTCTATTAATCTTTTAAGTGTCAGCTTCAGCTTCTTCAGGAGACCTTTCAGGACTCTTGTAAAGATGATACTTCATCCCTGCTACTATAGTACCGTGGTTTGTACCTTTGTTTTACCACTTAAAACTTTGTAATGTTACTGTTTGTATGTCTGCACGACTGTCTGTCTCCTCTACTGATTTATGGACTACTTGAGGACAAGGACTGTGTTGAACGCATTTCTATATCCCCGGCACTGAACATGTGCCTAGATCTAGTAGGCTTTCCATAGTGTGTGGATGAATATGTTGGTAAATATATGCCAGGGGGATTTTATGAAAATTGTGGTAGTGTGGCCTGTAGATACAGTGTTGCTTGCTATACCTGTATTTGGGGTCTTTAATTATTCTCCTGGTTTATTTTGCAGCCTTGGATAAATCATTTCTCTCAGAGCTTCTATTTTCACATGTATAAAATTGGAGGCTCATCTCTTCCATACTCTTGGGGCAAGGAGAACCCTACAGAACTGAATGCAAAAGCATATAGAATCCAGTTGCTGGTCCAGGGAGGATATTGGCATTTTGGAACTAACTACTTGAAGAATACTGGTCCTTTAGACATTGGGTGGATCACATCCAAACCACATAAACTTGTAGAATTTGATTATATCCATAAAGGATCTGAGAAATAGGTAGTTGTAGCTTTCCATTTCATAGATTAAGAAATTGGACCTCTGAGAAGTTTAATGACTCGCCTAAGGTCATAAAGCTATAGTTGTTTGTTTGGAACCTCTTATATTCTTGTCTAGGATGATCCCTATTTCATTTTGCTACTTTGGTTGTACACACCAATTAGATGAGAGTTAGGGGCTAGGATAGTGTGAAATTCTTGTGACCTTCAGGATCACTGCACTGTCCTCTGGGATCACTGAATGCTCTGCATTGCTGTTAGAGCCGAAAGGTTTCCAAACAGGACTGCAGAATTTCTTATGGTCGCTGCATCTTTTCAGTTACTCTGCTTGCCTCGGGTCCTACAAACAGGACACAGAAGGGTCACAGGGTTATTCAAGACCGAGCTGAAAGGATGTGCCATCAAAATAAGCAACATAGGAAGATAAACAAACCCGGGCCAGAGAGCTTGGGATGAAGGTGCAGGGGGGCCAGGACTGAAGTCAGAGGGCCATGCAGTCAGTGCCTGGGGTCTGTTTTTTCTAGTTCATATTGGGGCTATTGCTAGGCAAGAGGCCACAGAGATAGGGCAGGGGGCAGTAGGACAGGGAGGTTCTTAGGACACTAAAGCCAGGAAAAATATTTAAGGATGTTAAAAGAGATTGTTACTTCTCCATATTTAGCCCTTTCCCCTCCTCTCCCCCCAGGGCCTCTGATTTCTCATTTCCAGGGAGCCCAAGGGGGCCAGTTGATGGTAGCCCTACTAGAGGGGGAATACTGGCAATGTTGATGCAAGTCAGGTGGGTAGGGTGGCTGCTGGCATGATCCTCACAGAGAGCAAGAGCCCCATATAGAGCATTTGCTAGGACTTGGGGCTGAAAGTGACCTTTGGGAACAGAAGATGAGTCAAGGAATTGGGGGCCAAGGAATTGGTGTGTAGGAACTATGTTAAAGGGGAACTTCAGAATGGTTGGGCCGGCACAGCCCACTCTCAGTCTAGTCCGCTGGAGGGAGTTCCTTCCCCTGGCCCTGTCCATGCCTTTCTCTCTCCATCTGGTTGCCATCAGGCTGTGCGGCTGCTGGCGGGGCTCTTTATTTATTTATCCCAGTGTAATGGGGTGAGGAGGGAGCTGGCCTAAGGCTGGCATTCCGAGGCCAGGCCACTGAGCCACAGGCGGTTTGCATGGGTGTGTGAGTCACTGGGGCTGCATGCTGCTCAAACCAGACGCGGCCAGGCTCAGGGACAGGCAGCCCAAAATAGAGCCCCGCCCTCTGCAGCTGGCAACCCCTGGCTAGGAATCAGCCCTTGACACCAAAACCTGGGCAGTTGCGTGAAGTTGGCTTTCTTAAGGAGGAGACCTTTAACAGAGGTAGAGATTTTGTACTTCTCTGCCTTCAGAGGAGAGTATTTAGCATAGCAGGCACTTCTGTTGCTGCATTCCGAATGCCTTTTAAGACTTGATCTCTTCAGTATAATTCTTTAACCAATTTCTATTATACAGTTTTAGTTATATAACTACAGTTAACATTGATTTGACTCAGCATCCTAAATGTAGCCGTGGCCTTTGTGTCCTGTCTAGTTTTAGTTACTATCTTCATCCGCTGTCTGGTTGCAGCCTGATTCTAGAGTAGATCCTTCAAGCAGTGAAGTTATTCATTGCTGTCCTTGGGGAGCCAAAAGTTGTATCAAAGACACCCAGGGAAGATGGGGAGTCCTTTAACCTGAAAATAGTTGTCCTGTTAGATTCATTCCCAGGCACCTTCTACTTGGTTTCCTTTCCATTCTTTACCTGCCCCTTAAATGTTAAGGTTCCCTGGCATTGTGTCCTCGATCCTCTCACCCTTCGCTGTCTTCTGAGTTGTCTCATCCCGACCCGCGTTCCAGCTCTCAGAGTGTACCGCTGGGTCCAGGTTCATGCCGCCACTGTTTTGGGCCCCCATTTCTTCCTGCTTGTTTGACATTTCCGCCTAGATGTCCCCCGTGCAACATGTCCAAAATTAATAATCTCTTCCCCCTAACCTATTTCTCCTCTTACATACCTTATCTTGGGGAATTGGACCATTATCCATTCAGTTTTCTAAGCTAGAAACTTAGAAAAAGTGGGAGTTACCCACTTTTCTCTTTGTCCTTACTTCCAAAGCCTAACTGGTCAACTGTCTTTTGAATCTGCTGTTTTTCTGTATTCCAGCTTCCATTGTCTTAGATTCGCCACACCCTGCTCCATTTTTGGTTTGACCGTACATACAACCAGCCTCCTAACTTTTCTCCCAGTCAGTACTTACTTCCCTCCAATTGAATTTGCAGTGATGTCAGAGTGATCTCTTTGAAACAGAAACCTGATTATGTCACTCTCTTGCTTAAAGTCCTTTCTTTAGTGATTTTCCATAGCCTATAGGATAAAGTTCAAAATGCCTTGCACGTCACACAAGATTATTCATGATTTGGTCCTGCTGAACTCTGCGGCCTGATCCTCTGTCACTTGCCCATAGCACCCACAGTTTCATCACACTGAAGTTTTGCCAGCTTCCTGCCCATACACGTCTGGACTCATTTGCTTTGTATTCTCTTTGCTCTTGTCTTCACAACAAACTCCTATTCAACTTTCCCGACTCTACTTAGGCATCATCTTTTTTGTTTGTTTTCCATGACAATTTTTCCTTCCCTCTCCTTCTCCTTCTCTCCAAGCATAGGCACACTATCCTGCTATTCCCACAGCCCCCTATTCCTACCCCTGCTACTCTGGTCTGTGCTGCTGTCATCTTTTTCCTGCAGTTTTGCAATAGCCCCCTTCTGGTGTCCCTGCTGCTATCCCTGTGCATCTTTTGGCCAACAAAGTGATCTAATATAATAATCACATCATTGCTACTTTCCTGCTCAAA